TTACTTAAGACGGTTAAATAGGTCAATAGGTAGAAAAGTTTTCTAAGAAGTTTATAAGGAAAGTCTGGGAACTCCTATTCAACAATTTTATTTGATAAATTTTAAATATTAAAATTATTATTATTATAATTAATAATATTAGGCAGACCCAAAAAACTAATAATATATACAAATATAAAATATTTACAATATATGATATATGATATATGATATATATTATGACAATATATTACTTTACATTTTAATTCCAATATTTTTTTCTTAATTTTATTAACCAAAATGCACCCCTTATTTTGCTCTCTGCATTATCACATAAAATCCAGCAAGGAATATAAAACATAGAAATAAAAACAACAACAGTTGACGACATTGAGACGAAGCTGAAGCTTCTTTTTGCCCATCCCCCATCCCCCATCCCCCATCCCCCCCTCTTGGCCAACAGTGTGTTGCCTTTTACTCATTTGTCTTTTGGCTTTTTGGAAATTAACAACAGAGAGTCAACCCCCTTTTAGAGTCAGCCTCCTTCTTCACAGCCTCCGCCTCCGCCTCTGGGCTGCCTTGGCAAAAAGTTACCCCTTTTTATATATATATATATAAATATATATATGTATGTGAGCTATCTCTATCCATCAACGCCCCCCTAAACCCCACCCCCCTTGTGTCAGTCATATATATATTTTAAAATTTTTATGCCCGAATGAATTTTAATTCCTTTGACGGTTTTTGCCTTTGCCATTGGCAGCTGACGGGCCTAAAAAGTCTGCTGAAAAAAAAAACATTAACAAAAAAATAAAACAAGCTGAATTATTTTATAAGCAAGCCCTGAAGAGCTTCTCCTCGGAGTGTGTGTGTGTGGGGTGTGGGTGTGTGTCTTTGATTGCTTATTGTTAATTTGTATTTGTAGATTGGTGTCTCTGTGTGTGTGTGTGTGTGTGAAGCTGCTGCTCGCTGATTAAACCCTTTTTTTACACCCCCAACCCCCATGAGGGAAAAAAGGAAAACCCTTTGCCTTGGCCTCATGTGGAATAAATGCATAGAAAGAAATGAGAGCAAATTTAAGTAGATATTTTTAATCAAGTTTCTAGGGAAATTTGAATTGAAAAAATAGCATAACTTTGTCAAAAAGCCTTAATTTCAATTCGGAAAGCTATTCTGTGTTAGTTTTTGTTAGGTTAATAAATCTGCATACTCCATTTAAAATTTTTAAAAATTCATTTTTTCCAATTTTTTCTATGACAATTTTAAGCCTTACAATTTTGTTAAAATTTTGAAAAAATTAAATTTTTGCCGAACATGGCTAGATCGATTCGGCTGTTGATGCTGATCAAGAATATATATGATTTATACGGTCGGAAATGATTCCTTCACTAAGTTTTTAGCTTTTGACTGAAATTATAATACCCGGAAAGAGTATAAAAAAATAACACGAAGAATGAAATTAGTAAATAAATTAATAAAATTATTAAATGAAATAAAATTAATTAATTTAATTATAATTAATTTATTAATAATTAATTTATTAATAATTAATTTATTAATAATTGATTCAATTAAAGTTAAGCAACACAAATACTAAAGAAATAGTTAAGATGTGTTTCATAGGATCTTCTTCAAAAGTTTTAGTACTACCTTTAATATCTTTTATTTTTTTATTTGTTTATATTTCTATATATATATTTTTTTTTGTAATTATTACTTTCTCCTCTAAATTTTCTCTCAGTGCATACAAGAAAGGCAGCAACAGCAAGCGGCATTGCCTTAATTCCTTTTGGCATTTTATGCTTCCATCTTCATCTGCTAACCAAAACTCCTCACGCGCTTCATGTCTTTTGCCTTCGAGTGTTTGTTATTGTTGTTTCCATACACATATATATATTTATATATATATTACAAATATATATATATACAAAATATATGTGTATCGACTGCTTTTGTCAATTGTTATGCAAAAAGGGTAAGACTCTCTCTTGGCTGCTTGGCAATTTTGTTAATTACAAATCGTTTGCTTTTGCCTTTGCTTCACGGTTGCCAGCCCGTCAGTCTTTACCATTATTTTTTTTTTTTTTTTAAATTATTACCCAAAAAAACAGCGAGTGAGGGATGCTATGTTAGAGTATCCTTTGTCCAGCTTTGGTCCTGGGGAAAAATGTAAATTTCATAATTTACAAGCAACACACCCGCCCGAGAGACGCAACGTTCGAAAGTATTTGTTATAGTTTGTTTGATTGCTGTTAGATGCTACACCCAGGACTACACCCAGGACTCTGCACACACACACACTCTACACACACACTCTACACACACCTCACACACCCATCACAGGAGCAGCCTCATCAACCACAGAAGAGTTGCAGAAAGTTTCTACTTTTGCAACCCTTGAAAATGAAAATGATTTCTGCTGTCTCCTGCTCTCCCTGTGTGTGTGTGTCCTCATCCAAAAGTTGATTTATCGTTTTAATATTTCTTTCATTTTTCGGTTGGCTTTCGGCGTAAAATACTCGAAAAGTCCGAAAAATCGAAATGACAGTTTTTTAGTCCCTCCGCCTTTGAAAATTTTCTGGCATTAATTTGCATACGAAAAAGGGGATCAAGCGGCATTGTTGCCAAACTTCAAAAAACTTCAAGCTTCATTTAAGTTTTACTAATTAAGTTTTGTGTATATAAATATAAATATTTTCAGGGTATTTATTGCCTTAAGAACTTTAGTTTAAATGCATTTATTTAAGGCATTACTTGAGAGGTGAATTTGTAATTAAAAATCAGGTTTTATGGTAATTACTTTTTGGGTTAGAAACTATCTTTTGATACATCAATTTATTTTAAGGATTTTCTGGCTATATTTAAAACTTGTAAAGTTAATTTTAACTAATTTAAAACAAGGTTTACTAGGTGATAATATTGTATGCTGATTTTCTGGTTTAAAAATATTTTACAATTTTTTTTATTTGCTGATAATAATCTATGTTGATTTTCTGGTTTAAAAAATATTTCTCAAAAATATTTCAAAGCCTTGAAAAGAAAGTACAGTTGCCACCATGTGTGTGTGTGTCTCTTGAATATAAGTTGAGGAAAATCCATTCCCTTTGGCACCCTCAACTTGTGCGCTAATTACGTTTATTTAAGAAAAGCTGCGAAAAATTCTCGTTTTATTTTTTTTTGGATAAATGAAGCAAGGAAAGACATGGTAAGAAGGGGTTGGCGTGGTCTGGATTGTCTGGCAATTAGAAGCCACCCTCACGGGGGACTCCCCGAGTTGCCTTACCGCACCCATAAGATTTTTATGCAATTAATTTGAGTCGTTTGTCGTCTTGTCATGTCTTTTTCCTCCCTCCAACTCCCACTCCCACTCCTCCTCATATATGCTAATGAAAAATCGAACACGCATGCCGGCAATTTCCCAACCCTTCTTGACATGTGTGTGTGAGGGGGTTGGGTGTCCTGGATCCTGTGTGTGTGTGTGTGGGGGGGGGTCCTTTGATTGATAATAGAATTAACTGGCGTCTCTTGGCGGCTGTTTTGCATTTTTTTTTTTGGTTCGGCACATGCCACATGCCACGCATGTTCTTGATGCTTTTTTAATGCCAATTATGTTGTTCTTGCCTGGTTTTCTTTTTTTTTTTTTGTTTATGGCCAATAATCATCAGTTTTGGGCTTTTGTGCCCATCCACAATTATTGATAAAATAGACACGTGAAGGTTTACCTATGTATGGTGTTCCCATGTTGATGAAATTATTGTTTATGCCCCATGTTCGACACAAATCACGCAATGACACGCAAATTTGTAGTTAGAATTATGTTGATTTTCTCGTCTATATACATATAAATTTGCATATGGGTTAAGGGGATACCGCATATAGCTCGATATTGAATTTTCTTGCACGCATATGCATATATTTATTATATTTAATTGGAATTAATTATTAATATTCATATAGATTTTGGAACTTTAATTATTTGGTTTATTTGTGATCGTAAAAGGAGTTGGCTTGACCTTCGTTTTGAAAATAAAATTTAAAGATGTCTCAAACTGCATCTATTCTATCTGCGCTTATGCTTGAACATTGCAGGCAAAGCGTGGAGAGAGCGAGAGAGAAAAAGAGGCAAGAGTGCGGAAAGCAGTAGGAAAAACCTGAAATAAGCCTTTCTATCAAAAGATATAACTATAATCTTGAGAAGAAAATTTACTATACTCATAAAGGCAGTAAGAAAAACCCTAAAAAGCTACTTTACCCCATGAAAGTAATAAGAAAATTTTCATAAAATGAACACATTCCCTAATAAAATCAATCGATAAGAAATTTTAAAGGGGTAAAACTTTTGCTTATGGCATCTGCTTGGCGTCAATTAAAAACCGCGCCATAAAATTAATTTTAATCACATAATAAGAGATATACACACAGAGGCTTACATATATGTCCGTGTGTGTACCTGGGCTGTCATTAAAAAATTTCGTTGCATACCACAAGGCGGAGCAGAGCTGCCGAAAAACTTTATCTTGTCAACTTTGTGGGGGGTGTGTGTGCGTGTGTGTGTGTGTGTCGACGCACTTAAGAAAAATTCCCTTGTCAAATTTGCCAATTATCATATTTTCATCAAACAAACAAAGTTCCCCAAACAAAAGGGGGAGGATGCTGATGATGTTACCTTGGGGTGGGACTGGGCCTGATTTTCTTACCACCTGGAGGGGGAGTGTGTGTGTGTGTGTGTGTGGCAGAGGCATGCCTCACGACATTGACGTCGTTGTTAATTTTATTAAAAATTATTTTATAACTCTCGGCAGAACTTTTACAGCCACGAGCTTAACATTGTATGAACATATATATGTACTTATACCCAGGGGGTTCCAGGCAGAAAAAGCCAGCAAAGTACAGCCCATTATCAATAAATATTAAATTCTTTTATTATATTTGCTTTACAATGTTCAGCTTATATATATTTTTTAATCGATTAAAATCAAAACTAAAATGTCATGTTTTTTTTTCTTAATTTAATTGTACAGATTAAAGCACTTATGGAGGAACTGCAACGCCTGCAGGCCCTGGAACAGACGCACCTGGTGCAGATCCAGCGCCTGGAGGAGCATCTGGAGGTGAAGCGTCAGCATATTATCCGCTTGGAGGCCCGCCTGGATAAGCATCAGATCAATGAGGCTCTGGCGGAGGCCACTGCCTTGGCAGCCGTAACCGCTGCTGCCGTTGCCGCTGCCAATAATAACAATAATAATAATAATAACAATAGTCAGAGCAGTGATCATAATAAGCTAAGTGCCGCCGCCGCAGCATCCTCCAGTGATCCTGTGGAGAGTAGCAAGAATGCGGAGGAGGAGGATGAGGAGGAGGAGGAGCATGATGAGGCCATGCTGGTGGATGCCAGCGCAGAGGTGAAGTCGGAGGAGAAGGCCAACGCGGTGGAGCGACAGCGGAGGAGAATGGACATTGAGGAGGATGAAGAGGATGAGGAGGATCAGATCAATGAGGATCGGGCTGCAGATCGAAGGATCATCAGCGATAGCAATGAGATCAAAATTGAAAAGGAACAGCAGTGAGTAGATATTTATAGAAATCAATTAGAAAGTTCTTTTTATAATTTTTATATTAATTATATATATATTTTTTTAACTTTTAATAGCAGTCCCTTGGACCTCAATGTCCTTAGTCCGCAGTCGGCCATTGCCGCTGCCGCTGCGGCCGCTGCTGCCGCCGCCTGTGCCAATGACCCCAACAAATTCCAGGAGCTGCTCATTGAGCGGACCAAGGCCCTCGCCGCCGAGGCGCTCAAGAATGGTGCCAGCGATGCCGTCAATGCCATTAGCGAAGGTGAGCTCCAAAGTCGCAAAATATCAAGAAATCATTTCAAGCTCCATCAAGCTCATTATTTTAACAAGGGTGGATCAGTTAGAGAAAATATAAAATAAAATAAATGGGATTCAATTTAAGTAAATAAAAAATAAATTAAAATAGAGTGAGCTTCTAGTATTTTTTCTATTTAATTTTCTTCTTAAAATATATATAATTTCAAGCTAACGTAAAGCAACAAATGTCTTTAAAATATATATATTATAAATATATTAAATAACTCTTTAAAAATCTCTGTCAAAAATCCCCATTAAAAATCTATAAAAATCTAATTCTACAATTTTCAAAATTGTCTTACAAATAGTTATAAAATCTCATTACAAATATCTTTATAAATTCTATAATAATCTTCATGAAAATCATCCTTAAGAAAATCTCTAAATATCTTTAAAAGTTTCTATAGAAATCGCTACAAATCCCCTTATTGATCCACCCTATAGCTAACTATATATTTCCGGTCCTTCTTCTCTGATTTCTTGGCTTTATCAATTTGTCTTTGATTTGAAACCGACACGCGCAGGCTTTGCATTTATTATTTTCTCTTTTTTTTTATGGTTTATTGAAAGAGCGATAAACCCTGCAAAGAAGAAGGTTATATATCGCATACGATATAAATATATATATATAGCAGAAATCAGAAATCAGCAAAGAGGAGACTTGGACTTGGCGCCAGATTTTATGGCTTGAAGACGCGGCGAGAATGCTTTTATTTCCACAATACTTTTTCCTTCTTTTTTTTTTGCTGTGGCTAAATATTTGCATTCCGGTCATTATTATCAATCATTATCATTATAATAACCAAGATCATTGTTGTTGTTGATGTTGTTGTTAATTGTTGTTGTAGTTGTTGAGTTCTGCATGTGTTTATCGATAGCAGAAAGAACTACTTCTACCACCACCATTCTCTCTCTTATGAATCTTTAACCTATATAATATGATATATAAATCTATATTTGTTATTTTGTTGCACTTACAAAATTGGCGAGAAAAAAAATAGCAAACAAAAAAAAATATGATAAATGACAAAGAAAGTTTTCGATTAATTTTTGGCGTTTTGTTCCCTGGATGTGTTGTTGTTATACATAAACAAAAAAAATATACAAAACAACAAAACAAATAGAGCCCCAAAATATTTGTTTTCGTTGGTTATCCCTCCGCAGAGAACAACCCCCAGAAATCGGATGTTGTAGCTGAACTTATTGATGAACCTATTGAAGCCTCTAAAATGGCAACCAAAGTGGAGTTACCCGATGATGATGAACCCCAACCGGAAACGGAAACTGATACCGAAACGGATATAAGGCTGCAGGAGCAGCTGGTCAATAAGTATTGGCGTCGCGGCTTCGATACATCGCCTCCGGGGAGCAAAACGCCAACAATTTATCAAGGCCTTAGGCCAGCCGATCCTCAGCAGCAATTGTTATTGCCGCCTCCACCGCCTCCGCCGCCTCCCATGGCACCAACGGCGCCTCTACCGCCTACCCACCACCATCAGCAACAACCACAACAACAACAACAACATCTCTTTAATAACCCAATTCAACAACAACACCAACAACAATTACACCAACAACAGCAACAACAACAGCTACAGCAACAGCAACATGGACCCTCGTCCACCGCCTTGCTTAGCCAACTGGTTAACTCAACCTTTTCCAATTCCAATTCCAACTCAACCTCAACCACAACCTCCATCTCCACCTTATCCTCTCGCACAGATGCCCACCAACACCAACGTGAACGTGAACGTGAAAGGGAGCGGGAGCGGGAACGTGAACGGGAACGGGAACGGGAGCATCATCTGCACAGCAACAGCAGCAGCGGGAACAGTAGCTCCTCGAATCATCACCACCCACATTCACACCACCAGCAGCAGCAGCAGCAGCAGCAACAGCAACAGCAACAGCAGCAGCAGCAGCAGCATTCACATCAGCCTGATGGGCTGAACCACCATCATGGCCTCAATCATCACCTGCATGCCGGTTTGCTTCATCCTTCAGCGGCAGCGGCAGCAGCTGCTCATCATCACCTGCATCAGCATCAAGAGTCCAGCTCAAACTCCAGTGCCACCAGCACACCCACCGCCGGAGCTGGAGGAGCAGCAGGAGCAGGAGCAGCAGCATCAGGAGGATCAGTATCAGGAAACGCCTTGAATGGCAGCAGCAAATCCTTGGTCGAGGATGCTGCCACCAATGGCTTGGCCGCCGCTGCCATGGCCGCCCATGCCCAGCATGCGGCAGCCGCTGCTGTGATGGGTCCTGGATTTTTACCTGGTCTACCGTCTGCCTTTCAGTTCGCTGCCGCCGCCCAGGTGGCCGCCAGTGGCGGTGATGTTGGCGCCCGCGGGCATTATCGTTTCGCGGATGCGGAATTGCAATTGCCACCGGGTGCCTCGATGGCCGGTCGCTTGGGTGAATCGCTGATACCCAAGGGTGATCCCATGGAGGCCAAGCTGCAGGAGATGCTGCGCTACAATATGGACAAGTATGCCAATCAGGCACTGGATACCCTGCACATCTCGCGACGCGTACGGGAGTTGCTCTCGGTGCATAACATTGGCCAGCGACTGTTTGCCAAATATATTCTGGGCCTGTCCCAGGGCACCGTCTCCGAGCTCCTTAGTAAGCCAAAGCCATGGGATAAGTTGACGGAGAAGGGAAGGGATAGTTATCGGAAAATGCATGCCTGGGCCTGTGATGATAATGCCGTGATGCTGCTCAAGTCGCTGATACCCAAGAAAGGTGAGTGTGGTTATCCATTCAAAGATTATTTCAAATCCTTCTTGAAAGCAGTGCACAAAAGTAGGCAACAAAATTAAGTTCACACTTAAAATAGCTCCTGGGTATTCTAATGTCAGTCAGAAGCTTAAAAGAAAGTAAAATAGTCATTTTCGGGCCTATAAATCATATATATTCTTGATCAGCATTAAGAGGGGAATCTTTCTAGCTATATCTAGGCGAACAAAGATTTTTAAAAATTTTCACTATTTTTTTCAACCTTAAAATTGTTAAAAAAAAAATTGGTAAAAATTTTAATTTTTTTACGTTTCAAATTAAGTATGCAGATTTGTAAACCTAATTAAAACTAACATGTGAAAGCTTTCCGAAATGAAATTAATCAATTTTTGGTTTAGTTATAAAGATTTTTATGATCATAAATACAAGGATATACAATCTTTGCTTTCCTGAAGTTATCTTTCTTTCTTTTTTATAAGTTCACATTTTAAATGTTAAATATATATATACTTAGCTGGCTTTTTAATTGTTTTTTAAACCCTATTTATTAAAGTAATCGAATTGTGTTAGGATACCCCAAGGTTCATTGACTGAAGAGACAACCACAGAGAGACAAGAGTCCTTCAACTCGAACTTCAAACGAGGTCCTGCCAGCTCCTCTCCACTCTCTTTCGCTCTCTCTCTCTCTCTCTCTGTGGAATATTTTCTCCTCTTTTCTTTTTATTTTTTGTTGCATCTTTTGGCGTTTTTCATTTCGTTTGGCCGCCGGCCAAAACATTAAATTGTGAAATTTTAATTATTTTTGATTTTTGCGTATAATCAACGTGCCAACAGCACCGCGAGTCGGCGGCGACAAACTTGACGACGCTGCCAGGGGAGTAGTGTGTGTGTGTGTTACCAGAAGCAAGGGGGGTTAGGTAGGTGCAGGAAAAAAAAGAGAGAGAAAAAAAGAGACATTTTGCGGTGCAGTTGGAGCGGCCATTTGCCTGTCGCCATAAATTTCGGCAAATTCGCACATTAGGCGTGAAAATGAACAGGAATTCGTTTCATTCTGTCGCGATTTTTTTTCTCTCTATTTTGTTATTTAAAATTTTTTGTTGTGCATTTTGTTAACTGAGTTATATATAGTAATATTGTAAATAGTATTTCAAAATCATACCCAACAACTTGTTATATTTCCCTGTTGCCTGGGTTTCCCCCGCTTTTCTGATATTGATTAGTCATCAATTTGAATGGTTTAAAACTTTGACCGGGAAATATGTCAATGGAAAAGTATGTTTAAAATGTGCTAAGCACGCATTGCATTGCGACCCCCCTTCAACACCCAACCCTCCTGCTCCGCCACTGCCATATGTGCGTGTGTGTGTGTGTGTTGGTCTAAGTGCATGCAAATGTTGACAATTAATTTATGACGATTACTCATGGCAGCTAAACTAACTGTGACTGTTTATAGAGGGTGAGAGAAGGTAGGGGAGAAAGGGTAGGAGAGAAGGGGAGAATGAGAGGGATAGCAAGAGGGAGTAGGAGAAAGAGAAAGAGAGGACAACAGGACGAGTGCTAACAGGGGCGTAGGAACAGGGCACTCGAGCAGAGGTTAAAGTGTAAATGAGGTTATCAAAATAGGGTTTCTCTTATTTTTAACATATTTTCCTACTTCTTTTCTAAGTAAAAAAAAAGTTTAAATATTTTAAAATGCTTAAAAAAATTACAAATTTATTTGTTCACTAAATACTTGATAAATGAGAGAGAAATGATACATACATTTTAAAAATCAAGTTAAATTAATATATAAATAATATATATAATATATAAATTAATATATTATAATTAGACATCTTTTCTCTTAAAGAAATATATTTTTTCTATGGGTAATATATAAAGTAAAACTAAATAAAATATATAAAATAATACAGAAAATATATTAAACATTTTAGGCAGCAAAAAATCAACAAAATCAATTTAATTAAAAAAATGTATAATTTATTAATAATTAAAAGGTTTTATCACAAAGGAATCTTAGCATTTTTTTAAGCCCCCCTTTTTTTCCTGTGACAACTAATTCCTGCAATGACTTACCCCCTTTGGAAAAATGCAACCCCCCTTTCCCCGCCCCTGTGGTAGGAAACTCAGGTAGCTCAGGTTAACAATACTTTGAAGTCATTGTGGCAAAAGTTAACCCAGGATGCGCGTCAATGAATTTTGAATTGTAATTGTTTAAAGCGCGCTATATAAAATCAGAGGGGGGTTAGGGAGGGGGATCAGAGGCTTAGAAGGGGTCTGCCAAGGGGGAGGTACTTAATAATAAATATATATAAAAAAAAGGTGGCAAAGGTTAGGGGAAACCACGACGACGACTGCCGTGACAATTGGTCTGTAAAAAGCTTGAAACAAAATCAGAAAAAATTAAAAATATATATACATATATATTTATAGTCGGGCAACATGAAGTTGAATTAAATGTAAACAAGAAGCACGGCAAATAATAATAATAAAATAATAATAATAATAATAATACGAGGCACAACTGCAACTCTGCCTTCAACGAGCCATGCAAAATCGGCTGACGTGCCGAGCGTTTGAAGTCGTCTTTGTGATTCCCCTTCCCCCCGGAAAGAAATCCATGAGGGGAGGTAACAAGGGGGTTGGTAGTGTAGCCCCAATCCCTACCCCCCTTGACGCAAAAGTTTTTGCGTTTTCGGTTTGTTTTTTTCGAACCCCTCCACGCCTTTGAATTTTCTGCCTTTTGCCTTTCTTTTTGGTTTATTTTTAAGGACAATTGTTGCTTTTTGTTCAATAGAGGGTTAAAGTCTGGTTATATTAGCAATACAAGGGTTAAGGTTTAATCAATAGGAAGTTTTAGCAAAATAAAGGTTAATTTGATAGAAAGAAAAGTAGAAAGAAAGAGTGTACGAGAAAGTATTACAAATATAAATCAAGAAACTTATTTATTTTCCTATAATTAAATGAAATCGAAAAAGATTTTATTTGAATATTAAAAACATTTTTTTAACTTGCTTTAAATATAATTTAAAAGCTTCGTAACATCACTTAAAGATACTTTTATAGTGTTTAACCCGCAGGACCTTTAGCTCCCTCTTTAACCCTCTTACACTTGACTAAAGTTTACAAACGCAAACAGCAACAAAAAAAATCATAGAAAAAAGAAGAAAAAAATTACTGTTGACAGGACTCTTTGGTAACAAAAAAACAGAATAAAAAAAGCAGGGAAAAACAGGACTAGAAAACTGAGGGGAAAGCCAAGTGCTCAATTGAAACTCAACGCTGAAAAGCAGGGGAACCACACGGCGTATACGTAATGACTGCAAGGCGGGGGGTGAGTACTCACTCGCACTTGTGGAGTACAGAGTGTGAGCCATTATAGCAGCTAATAATACTAGCATATTAACACATAATTCTCAACAGACACCACCCTACCCCCCCTCTCTCTCGCTGTCTCTGTCCTTTATTTTGGCCAGGCCAACAGAGGGACAGAGACAGAGATAGAGAGAGAGAGAGTGTAAGTGCGAGTGCCTAAGAATAGCACCGAAAATTGGCTGGGAAAAAGGGGGGAAAGCGGGAAAAGCTTCGACAAAACAAAAGCATTCCAAACGCCACAAGAAGATGCGGCTGAATAAAAATTGAGGAAAAAAGAAAAATAGGAAAGGAAAAACATACGGCAGACTGCCACACATTTATTTGCGGCCGCTTCACAAATTATTTGTCACAAGCCATAAAGCGGCCAAAAAGTGTGTGTAAAAGTGTGTGTCTAAGAAAGAATAGAACAAAAAAACACAAGAAAAGCATAATAATATTTTTCTAAAAATTTAAATTTTATTAACGAATCGTAAATACTCTTTTGACCAAGAAAATATAAAGGTTTATAAACCCTTAAGCTAAAAGGGATATATTTTTATCAGAAAGAGAGAAAGAGTTTTATAATTGCTTTACATATATATTTTAATTAGTTAACTAATTGGTTAATATCAAATATATATTTTATTTAATTACTTAAATAAAAGAGTTTTATAATTGCTTAAAATATATATTTTTTAATTAATGAACTTATTGGTTATTGGTTTAATAATTACTTACTTAAATAAAAGAGTTTTATAATTGCTAAAAATATATATTTTAATTAATAAACTTATTGGTAATTGGTTTAATATATATTTTATTTAATTACTTTGCTTGTCTAAGAGTAAAGCAATTAATTATTAAATTAAATCTTAACAAACAAGTAACAAGTAAAAAAGAAGACTTGTATTATAACAAACTGTCTTTACATAAATAATTTAAAATATTTTTTACATCTTTCTTTATATTCTATATATTAATTAAATATTATAAAGATATTTTAAAGATATATATTGAATCCAAAACAGATTCTTAGAGTATCCCAAAAGTCTTTAAGATTTATTTTTCCCTTTCTCACTAAGTGAGCCAACGGGGCGTATCAATGCTTTAGCTTTAACGCGATTTTTGGCCCCATATCTTGATTGTATTTTGATTTTATTTGATTTATTTATACACAGGTACACACACACCACACACACTCTCCTTTTTTTTCTTTTTTTTTTTTGGCTGATGCTCTGCAACCATTAAAATTGTTCATTGAGTGGCATCGCATCGTTCATAAGTGTGGCGACTCATTGCGGTTCCCGCTTGTTTTATTTTATCTTATTTCATTTATTTATTTATTTATGTATTATTACTTTTCGTGTGATCAGGGGATTGCCTGAGTGCGTGGGCCTGGCAAACAATACGCATAAATTAGCATAAAGCTCGCTCAACAATTTTCATAAATCTGACTCGATCGCAGAAAGGGAAATCTTAGCCACCGACACAAATTTATTTATTTTGAATTTCTTTTGATATCTTTTGTGATGAACGAAATGAGGCAATCAGGCGGGGGAAATGGAAGAGCTGCCGCCACAAGAATAGGAAAAGAATCTGAATCAGAACGAAGACCGAAGAGTCTGAAGAATCTGAAGACAGAAGACTGTAGACTATAGACTATAGACCAAAGACCAAAAGAACCAAGAAGACCGAAGAGTAATGGCCCCCGATCAGGGAGTGCTAATAATTTGATGGGGACTACTAACCGAAAAAATAAAAACAACAACAGCAACGCAAGAGACTATAATAAAAAATAAATAAAACAGAAATGGGTAATAAACAAAATAAGGAAAACTGGTGGGGAAAAGATGAGGTTAAAAAGGGGGGAAATTTGAAGGAAATGGGAGGAAAGTAGGAGGAGGAAACTAAGGTGGCAAAGGAAAGGGGAAACAGACAGAGAAATATATATTTTTAAACAACAAAAAATTAGCCAGTAAATGGTTAAATGTTGCACATGTCGTGTTCGTGCCTGGTTACAATTTTTTGTAATTTTTATTTTGCATATAAGCGGGCTAATTACTTTGTAATGAACTTTGACAACAGCAGGGTTAAGGGGGTTTTTGGGGATAAGGATTGGGGTTGAGGGTTAAGGGGTTGTGGAGTTGCAAGAACAAAGCCAAATCCATGACGAAAACAAATTAAAATGCAAGACAAAGTTGCCTCTGCACGTTGCCCATTCTCTAGGAGTCTCTCCATTCTCCAGGATACCTTTTCTCCACTCTCCACTCTCCACTCTCCAGTGCTCCTTTCTCCATATTCCCACTACCCATTCCACTTGTTCCAATGTCTATATCTCACATAGATATACATATATAAAATTTTCTGCTTAATTGCAAGACAAACAAAGGTGGAAATAAAACGTTGGGAATGGGGTGGCAAGGAATGCAGGGAATGGGCATAGGGTATGGGGTATGGGGTATTGGTTTTAAGGGGAATGGGTGAAAAAGTGATACCCCTTTTGATAACAGGTGAGACCCAACTCTGCTGCAGTGCAGGTCCCCGAATAAGAAGCTACCTACCGCCCCGTGTCGAAACTCTTCAATTTGCAATGCTACGTTTGCTTTCCGCTCAGCTGGAAGAAGGAGGAAGAAGCCTCCAATTCCACAGTTCCTCCCCAGTTTTCCTTTTCTTTTACTCCTTTTGTTTTTGTTTTTTTTTTTTTTAATTGACACTTTTGCTAATACACGAGGAACAAATGGTAAGAAAGAATGAAGGGAAGAGCAAGTCGAAATGACTGGCATTTTAATTAGAAAATTTTTACTTGCAATTAATGCAAATTGCGTGCGTGTGCCAATTTCAATGTGCCAACAGCCGGTTCAATTCCGTGCGTTCCCTCAAACCCCGCATCGAAACGAAAGGATACCCTTTCAGATCGACGCGACGCGACATGTTGAAGTATGATTACATATTTGTGTATATGTGTGTGTGGAGCCAGCAAATATTTATTGTATTTAGAATATATATACGGAGAAAAAAAAAACAAGAGAAAATGGAAAATGGAAAGCGAAGCCAACCCCACAGGTCTCTGTCCTTGCTCCTACTCCTTCTCCTCCTTTGATTTGTTATAAAAGGCAAATATTCATCAGGCAAAAAGGGAAGCAGAACAAAGATTGTCATATAAATATAGATATATATGTATATATAGAAACGGATAACTGGGTAGACAAATATGATAGCTCATATCTTTTGGTGGTCCGAATATAACAACAAAAAATATCCCTTTTTGAATGACAATTTGGTCAACATGTTTCTCTCTAATAAATTAAAAAACAAAAAACACAAAAAACCTACAGACAAGAATAATGTAAATCGCAGACAAAACAAAAAATACACGGGGGCTATCTATATCTCTACATATATTTCTATATATATATATATAGTAAAAAGCTGAAAGGTTGCTAACGCGAAAATATAAAAAAATGCGGGCCTTGGTTGAGGATAAAGATGTTGAATTTTGTACTTTTTTCGGTGATGTCTGACTGCCACGTGAGAGACTCTTGAATCATTTTTTTGGTCACAAAAATATATAGAAGTTAAAGTTAAAGTTAGGTTCAAGTATTAATTGCGAGTTTATAGTTTATAAATTAAAAATTGAATACCAAAGTTTGAAAACAAAACAAGAAACTTTCTTCAGAAAGCCAAAGTTTATATATTTGTGCAGTTTGGAAATGATTTATGGAATCAAATCGGAAATCGGTGATAAGTAAGCTTAAAATATTCACATTATCTAAAGCGATATTTTGTAAATGACAATTTTTTCGAAAATTTAAATTTAAAAAAAATTATAACTGAGCCAAAGAGGCATTAATGTTAATTCGGAAAGCTGTTCTATGTTTATGTTTATGTTTAATAAATCTGCATACTTAATTTAATTTCAATTTTTTTGTAAATTTTTTGACAATTTTAACGATGTAAAATTATTATTATAAAATTTGAAAAAAATTTCTTTGTTCTCAAATATAGCTAGATCGATTCGCCTGTTGATGCTGATCAAAAATATATATATGATTTATGGGGTCGCAAATGACTTCTTTACTGATTTAAATTAAAAAAACTCTTTGCAAGTGTAAAATATAGGAGTTTTCTAGTCTATAAAAAACCTTATAAATCCCTAACTTCTCTGCTTAAATCCCCACAAAACTTCAACTGCCATGGTCTTTAAAGAGTGCCACTTACCTTCTCTGTAAACCAATCGATATATACCATATATATGTAGAGAGATATATACGGATATTTCCCGGCAGAGTTGGCCACAATCTTTGGCCAAATCCCTGGCTAAGCTGTCTGTGTCTGACCAGCCTCCTCCAACTTTCACTCTCAGAAAAAATTCCCGTCATATATTCCCTCATATTTCCCTCTTTTGTTCGATCCTGCCAGCAAATCCTGATGCTGGCCCTGGGTCATTCCAGGTGTCATCAATGTCATCTTCGACTTTATAACACAAAAACACTTTGTAATCCCCAAATGAAGCGACGACAGGGGGGGAAAAAAAAATGAAAACTCCGCCCCCCTTACTCGGTGAAAATGATTTTTCCAATTTTTATGGTCCTAACCTATTGTAGTTGGCCATTTGATCGCCTTTTATCCTTCGCTTGCTTCACTTTTTTTTGCACTTCTATTCTCCCATTTGGTACATTTGTCATTCATGTGTTGATTTCCGTTTCCGCTTTTGCCAAGTCGCCAAGTGTTTGCTCCTTTGGGGCATCGATTATGCTTTTGCGGCAATTGTAAAGCGATTTTCAGTTATTTCATTTCATTGCTTGGTTGGCGAAAAACGTTTGATTGATGTTTGTTGCCACAAAAACATGCCGCAGGACACATCACACAGGATGTACACCTAACCACTTTGTGTGTTTGAGTGATTATTTTGCAATTTACCACTCGATGCTTTTGTCAAACAAAAAAAAAAAAAAATATATGGAAAAGAGAGTCTGAAAAGCACAAGGACTTCTCCATTACCAATTTTGTTTTTTCGAAAATGTGGAAATTTTTTATTGCCAGGACTTTATTTTTTGTTTTTGTTTGTAACCCGCTCTCAATTGCAATTGAATTCATTCATTTATTCATTTCGTTTGGTTTTCGTTTGCCTCTCGTTTGGTTTATTCAACTCCAGGACCAGGACCAGGACCAGGACCAGGACCTCGCTTCGATGAGCAGTAGGAGGAGGAGGAGGAGGAGGTCCTGGCGCGTGCCAAATTAGCGCAAACGCTCTTTTTGCATCGAACAACTATTTGAGGTCCTGTGGCGGTTAGGAAAAAAGAAAAGCATCAAAATAATGTATAGGAAGGAGTGTGAATGCCACACGAAAAATTCTACGTTTGTCGGTTTTTTCGGTTCTGATATATATATGTATATATGCACAAACATATATATAATTGGAGCAAAAGTCCAGTCCAGTCCTGTTGAAACCCATCGAAATTTTACGTAGGGATACGTAGGGGGGAGCGATCCCTTTCAACTGCATTGCCGCCTTTATGGTCGCAAATTCGCTTTGGCTTTTTTGAACGCTTTATGGCTTAATTGGTTTGAGCTTGGATTGATGTTTGATTCCCTTACCCCCATAAAGTTTACAGCATTTAATGGGCTATGGCCCTTTATGATCCACCATCTCCTAATCGAATATATATCCTCTCTTGCAGATTCTGGCCTGCCGCAGTATGCTGGTCGCGGTGCCGGCGGCGGTGGCGGTGATGATTCCATGTCCGAGGATCGCATCGCCCACATCCTCAGCGAGGCCTCGTCCCTGATGAAACAGAGCAGCGTTGTCCAGCAGCAGCGGGAGCACGAGATGCGTCGTCATGGTGCCGGCCTTGTTGGTGATGATTCGCACAGCAATGAGGATAGCAAATCGCCGCCGCAGAGTTGCTCATCGCCCTTCTTCAAGGTGGAGCATCAGATCAAGCAGCAGCATCAGCAGCATCAGCAGCAACAGCAGCAGCAACAGCAGCAGCAGCAACATCTCAATCCGGAGCAGCAGCGGGAACGGGAGCGGGAGCAGCGCGAGCGAGAGCAACAGCAGCGTTTGCGGCACGAGGATCTGGCCCAGGATAAGATGGCGAGGCTGTATCAGGAGCTAATAGCACGCACTCCACGTGAGGCACCATTTCCCAGGTAAAAGATAATTTCAGAGGCATCTAGAGCATCCTCTTTTCCTTCTTAACCTATCCAAGAGTTACCTAATAACCTATTCCATTCTCTCTCCCCCACAGCCTGTTCTTTTCACCCATTTTTGGTGGAGGTGCTGGGATGCCTGGTGCCGCTGGCAATGCCTTCCCCGCCATGGCCGATGAGAATATGCGACATGTGTTTGAGCGTGAGATTGCCAAGTTGCAGCAACATCAGCAGCAGCAGCAGCAACAGCAGCAGCAGCAGCAACAGGCGGCGGCCGCTCAGTTCCCCAACTTCTCCAGCCTGATGGCCCTGCAGCAGCAGGTCCTGAACGGTGCCCAGGATCTCTCGCTGGCCGCTGCCGCTGCGGCTGCCAAGGATATCAAGCTGAATGGTCAGCGTTCATCGCTGGATCACAGTGCCGGCGGCGGTGGCAGCAGCAGCAGTTGCTCCAAGGATGGCGAACGCGATGAGCCCGGTTATCCATCATCGCTGCATGGCATCAAGTCGGAAGGTGGCAGCACACCGGCACCAGGAGCAGCATCAGTGCCAGCTGTGCCCTCAGCAGTGGCCGGTGGAGCAGGTGGAGCCGGAGTCGGAGCCAGTAGCAATTCGGCGGCGCCAAGTCCATTGAGTAACTCGATTTTGCCGCCTGCTTTGAGCAGCCAGAATGAGGAGTTTGCGGCCACCGCCAGTCCTTTGCAGCGAATGGCTTCGATCACGAATTCACTGATCACACAGCCGCCGGTGACGCCGCATCATAGCACACCAACGCGTCCGACCAAGGCGGTCCTGCCGCCCATCACCCAGCAGCAGTTCGATATGTTCAACAATCTCAACACGGAGGATATTGTGCGTCGTGTGAAGGAGGCCCTCTCCCAGTACTCGATCTCCCAGCGTCTCTTTGGCGAATCGGTGCTCGGACTGTCCCAGGGTTCCGTCTCCGATCTGCTGGCCCGACCCAAGCCCTGGCATATGCTCACCCAGAAGGGACGCGAACCCTTCATTCGCATGAAGATGTTCCTCGAGGATGAGAATGCCGTGCACAAGCTGGTGGCCAGTCAGTATAAGATTGCACCCGAGAAGCTGATGCGAACGGGCAGCTACAGCGGGAGTCCACAGATGCCGCAGGGATTGGCCAGCAAGATGCAGGCATCGCTGCCCATGCAGAAGATGATGAGCGAACTGAAGCTGCAGGAGCCGGCGCAGGCGCAGCATCTCATGCAACAGATGCAGGCGGCGGCCATGGCTCAGGCGCAGGCACAGCAGCAGCAGCAGGTGCAAGTGCAGCAGGCTGCCCAGCAGCATCTGCAGCAGCAGGCCCAGCAACATCTCCAGGCGGCTGCACAGCAGCATCTCCAGCAGCAGCAGCAGCAGCAGCAACAACAGCAGCAACAGCAGCAGCAGCAACATCCACACCAGCAACACCATCAGGCAGCGGCAGCGGCAGCAGCGGCTCTGCATCACCAGAGCATGCTATTGACCTCACCGGGTCTGCCGCCACAGCATGCCATTAGCCTGCCACCGGGCAATCCTGGCCAGAATCAGAGCAACTCCGGCTCGGTCCAGAGTCCCGCCAACAGCGATAAGAAACCGATGTTGATGCCTGTCCATGGCACAAATGCCATGCGCAGTCTGCATCAGCACATGTCGCCCACCGTCTATGAGATGGCTGCCCTTACCCAGGACCTGGACACGCACGACATCACCACCAAGATCAAGGAGGCCCTGCTGGCCAATAACATTGGCCAGAAGATCTTTGGCGAGGCGGTGCTTGGCCTCTCCCAAGGCTCCGTTTCGGAGCTGCTCAGCAAGCCCAAGCCCTGGCACATGCTGTCCATCAAGGGACGCGAGCCCTTCATCCGGATGCAGCTCTGGCTGAGCGATGCCAACAATGTGGAGCGATTGCAGCTGCTCAAGAATGAGCGAAGGGAGGCGAGTAAGCGTCGCAGGAGCACCGGACCCAATCAGCAGGACAATAGCAGTGATACATCCAGCAATGATACCAATGACTTTTACACCAGCAGCCCCGGCCCGGGATCCGTGGGTTCGGGGGTGGGCGGTGTGGGTGGTGCTCCGCCCAGCAAAAAGCAAAGGGTACTCTTCTCCGAGGAGCAGAAGGAAGCCCTCCGCTTGGCCTTTGCCCTGGATCCCTATCCGAATGTGGGTACCATTGAGTTCCTGGCCAATGAGCTGAGCCTGGCCACAAGGACGATTACGAATTGGTTCCACAATCACCGGATGCGATTGAAGCAACAGGTGCCGCATGGCCAGCCGGGTCAGGACAATCCCATACCCAGCCGGGAGAGCACCAGTTCGACGCCCTTCGATCCCGTCCAGTTCCGTATTCTGTTGCAGCAGCGTCTCGTTGAGCTGCACAAGGAGCGCATGGGTTTGAGTGGTGCCCCCATTCCATATCCACCGTACTTTGCAGCGGCTGCTCTGTTGGGACGCAGCTTGGCCGGCATACCGGGAGCAGCGGCAGCGGCCGGAGCGGCAGCAGCAGCAGCAGCAGCTGTGGGCGGTGGTGTCGGTGGTGCCACCACCAGCGAGGAGCTGCAGGCCCTGAATCAGGCCTTCAAGGAGCAAATGAGTGGCCTGGATCTATCGATGCCCTCGCTAAAGCGTGAGCGTAGCGATGATTATCAGGACGATCTGGAGCTGGATCATCATCAGCAGCAGCAGCAACAGCAGCAGCAGCAGCATCATCATCTCCAGCTGCAGCAGCATCTGCAGCAGCAGCACCAGCAGCATCAGCAGCAGCAACAGCAGCAGCACAGCGACAACGAGTCCGAGCAGGATCAACTGGAGGATAACAAGAGCAGCGAATATGAGAAGGCTCTGCACAAATCCGCCTTGGCCTCGGCGGCAGCGGCTGCTGCTTACATGTCCAATGCGGTGAGGAGTTCACGTCGCAAGCCAGCTGCCCCACAATGGGTGAATCCTGCTGGCGTTGGTGGTGGTGGTGCCACGCCCACGCCCAATGCTGTCCTTGCAGCAGCTGCAGCAGCAGCAGCAGCCGCAGCAGCAGCGGCAGCAGCAGCCACGGCGGCCGAGAATGAGAGGATTATCAACGGAGTGTGTGTGATGCAGGGTTCCGAATATGGACGCGATGATACCGAACAGGCTGGCAAGGACACGGCCGGCGGGGATTCAGATCATGAGCATCCCCAACTGGAAATTGATCAGAGCTTCATGGAGCCAGAGGTGCACATCAAACAGGAGGAGGAAGATGACGAGGACGAGGAGGAGGAGGAGCAACAGCAGCCAAGTCTGGCGGGTGCTGCAGATGAGGCACAGCAGCAGCAACAGCAGCAGCAGCAGCAGCAGCTCAAGGTGGTCAACGAGGAGAAACTGCGGCTGGTGCGTGTACGTCGATTGAGCAGCACGGGCAATGGTTCCGCCGATGAGATGCCTGCACCCACGGCTCCTCTAGCTGCCTCGACTCCAACTGTTGATGCAACCAACAACAACAACAACAGCAGCAGCAGCAGCAGCAGCACCACCGCAGCCAGCACTAGCAGCAGTCCTTTAGCACCGCCACCTGTGACCGCCAGTCCGAGTCCTGCAGCATGGAATTACTAAGAAAGGAGCAGGGAGCAAGGAGCCAGGATCAAGGAGGAGCGAAATAATCAGTGCAATGTGTTGAGTTGAGGCGCGTTTACTTGTGATTAAGTTTGAAAATGTTTGAATGAGACCAGGGAGATCGATATCCACAGATCGACTAAGAGAGAGAGCAGACACTCTATATACATTTATATATATATCCATATATATATATATTATATATTATATATATTATATTATATATATATTTTTTTTAACTACTAAATAGGCGTTAGTTTTGGTTTAGACCTAAGGTTAGTCTGTAGTAGTTTGTAGCTAAAAGTTTAGAGACGCTATGCGATCGTTGGGTGTGGAGCAGCGCAAAAAGTATTAATGAATGAGAGAGATGGGGAGAGAGAGAGAGAGAGAGAGAGCAGTTCCCTCCAGAAAGAGGAAGATGAAGGAAATGTAGGAGAAAACCCCCCCTGACTTGCCGAAGAACTTGAACCAAAACACATGTGTGTCGGAGATCCAAATGTTAGTGAAAAGAATGATCAAAATCTTGCAAAGATTCGATGATCGATCAAGCGATTCTATCGATTTTCGATTAAAGATTTTTTTCGATTAATTCAATTTTTCGAATAAGAAATTTTTTTGTTCAACCTTTATGTATATTTTTTAATCATTTTTTGGTATAACAATTTTTTTGATTTATAAATTTATTTTTTCGGTGAACGAGTTTTTTGTTAAAAGCATTTTTTCGATTTTTTGATGAATTCAACAAATTTTCTATTTATTCGTTTAAAGAATTTTTCGATTAACGATTTTTTTCGTTTTGTTTCTACTTGAAGACTGTAAAAGCAAAGGCACACACACGTAATTCTATACTATTTTTTTTTTTTTTTTTTTATATATACATATATCAACTCGATAGTTAAGTGTTAATTCGTTAAGTGTAAATAAATAAATTAAAGTGTAAATAGAGAGAGTTTCTGTCGTTCTTCCTAAAAACAAAACAAAACAAAACCCTTAAATTCTTAAACCGCAAACCGACTTGTTTTTAACTATCTTTTGATCTCAAGCTAAATAAAAATACAAAATAACAAATAACAAAATAAAACAAAAAACAAAGGAAAAGAAAAGGAAAAAGAAAGAAATGATATGAAAGCGAAAGGGAAAGAGGGAAATTATTGAAAAATCCAAAGTAAAAGATAGTTAAAGGGCAACAAAAAAATAAATGAGGAAATGAAACAAGTAAGAAGCGTGTTTTTCCCATCTTTTTGTTTTTCCAATTGATTTTGAGATGAGAAAAAGTAAACATAAATATAACAATAAATTTTGTAAATTTTGAATTTACATAAAAAATCACACAAAACACACACGACACACACACACTGATACATTGAGTAATTCATAATTATAGCAAAAATAAACACACATGCAAAATGCACTAAATTATTTATAATCTAATTATTCGATATATACAATAATTATATATATACATATATCTAATATATAATTAAACATATATATATATATGAATATATATATATGTATATATATATGCATATGAAGAGTGTATCAACTTAGCCTTACGCTAAATATAAATTTACATTTTGCATTAAACCCTAGCATAAATAACAACAATTTTTTTCTGTGAATCTAAATAATATTATATTAAAAACAAAACAACAAATAAAAAACCCGCATATCGTACTAAAGAAATTACACACACGAAAAAATAATAAAAGAAAACAAAAAAAAGAAAAGAAAAGAAAAACCAACCCTATGCTAAGGAAGCCAACTTTTTTTTTGCCTAGAACCTAAGTTTATATATATTAATCGTAATATTAAATAAATTACATTACAATAATAATAAAAACAAAAAAAAAAACACAAGAATCTGTTTTCCTACAACAACCCGAAGCAAATTTTTAAGCAAAATATTTAAACGTTTTTTTCCTAGGCTAAATGTTTAAGCTAAATAAAACCACAACAGATTTCTCTAAATAAATAAAAACTATAAAAAAAAACCAAGCACAAAAACCATTTTTGCATAGGCCCAAAATTTGCCGCGTTATTATTATTATTATTATTATTATTATTATTATTATTATTACATACATACATACATATATATGAGAAGAAGCGAGAAAGAGAAGAAACAGAGACATAAAATTTGCGTCTTCAAGCGAAATTTATTCATGAAATTGCACTCAAAAAAATTTAAGCGAATATAAAGCAAGTAAAAAATATTTTGAAAAAATATATGCAGACACACAGAGAGAAAAAACAACGATCTTCTTTAATTTATATATATAAATATATATAATTTCCACCCGAGTTTAAATACTTTGCATTTTCATACGCTTTAGCTAAAAAATAAATTATAAATTATAAACCCAATATGGATATGGAGATAAACGTAAAAGAGTAAAACTATATATAAAATATATACAAAATATGGAATAACTTTTAGTTTTAATTTATAAAAAACATTTTTTTTTCTATTATTATTATGATTATTATTATATATTATTGTAATTATATACAAACAAAAAATACACATATAAATCTAAAAGAATGAGAAGACGGAGGAAAAGCATGAGCGACAACATACCAATAATACATGAACATGAACGAAACTTTATCAAATAAAAATGTTTTCTTAACGAAAAAAAAAAACAAAACACCCATCGATATCCTTTTTTTATTTTCCGCCAAAAAAAAAAGAAAAGCCCACAGAAAATCCCTGGAAAATCCCTTCCCCAGGCCCAACGCCCTGTATAGCTTACCTTTTTAGTGGGGAGTCCAGCAGGTGAATATCGAATATATATATATGATCAGCATTTTATACACATACAGAACATATATATATATAAACAAATATGCGGTGCTAGCCAACGTAACATATATATATATAAATATATATATTAGGAGAGCAGGACATACGTAATTAATTTTAATAATACAATTAAAATTAAAGCAAGCAATTTAAAAACGAAACTAAAGTAAAATCAAAAGCAAGAAGCTGTAAATAAAATTAAACAGAAACAAAAAATAATATATGTAATCCGGAAATTTCCACAGTTTAAACAGTTTTTTGTTTAATTTTTTTTTGTGGCCCAAAAACCAAGCGAACCCTAGCTGTATATAATAAATAAATGAATAAATAAAATAAACATAAATAGCAGAAAAAAACACAACAACAAGAACAACAACAAACCAGACCATATCAATATTATGTTTAAAGCGTAAGAGGAATAAATAAAGTTATTTTAGCAGAAAACGAAAAACGAAACACCCAAAAAGCAGCCATGACTTGACATAATTAATCAGCCGATATATATAGTACATATACTATATATATATATATGAATAATATAACATATATATAGAAAAAAACAACCAAGATATGGACAGAAAGCGGAACGAGAGCGAGTAAAGTTAACACAGACACACAGAACCCAAGCAGATCCAAATTCCTGTCCTCCCCCCAGGCAGGATAGATACAAAGATACAGATACAAAGATACAGATACAGGATGTATCTCTCCGTTTTTTCAGTTTGAAATCCGCCCAATAAAGCAATGCAAAACCGAAGATGGAGCAAAGCCAAGCGTTTATTGACAAGAAATTAGCTAAATGTGCCCAAAAATTAACATACACAATTATTAACAACAAAAGCAGCAAAAATATCAAAATATACATATAAACAAATATAAAACAAAAAGCAAATACAAAAGAAAATAAAGATTATATATATAGAGATATTAAACTTAAGCACACAGACACACAATTTTCGGCAAAGAAAAAAACCTCGAAAAACCATTTTCTAATATCTAAGCGATGAAAATTTAATCCCAAAAATTACACGAGAAAATACATTTTTTTGTAGCGCATTTCTTGTATAAATGCACACACGAGAGCATTCAAAAATTAAATAAGAAACCGAAAATAATAATTAAATAAATAAATGGTAATATTTTTTTAAATTAAGCTAAACTGTAATTGTGTTTTTTTTATTTCAACAAACGCGTATTTCCGGGAAATGCAAAAATTGCAAAAAAAAAAAATAAAACGAAAACAAATGGAAAAAACACCAGAAAAATCAAAGAAACGCGAAAAACAGCCACAAACAAAACACAAAAGAAAACAATTATCAAAAAAAAAACAAGAAATAAAATTGAATGAAAATGGAGTAAGAATGGAATAAATATGGAGGAAAGGGAGAAAATAATGCAAATATAAATAATAACAATATATGATTAATAAAACTAGTTTATATAGCATGTAAAACTGAACAGAAAAATCAAATTCAATAAAGACGAATCTACTGTATTCCAATCCGAACGGTTTGTTTATTTTGTTGGGACTCCTAATTTGTACTGAAGGTAAGTTTTTTTGTTGTTGTTAAAATCTGAATTTAAATTTGAATAGAAGATAAGTTCCCTACACTTAAGGCCAAATTAGAACTTGAGTTTAAAAAGACTGGCACTTACCCCCACATCATTTAGTTTAGCGGCTTATTTATATGGCTACATACTTCGCTTTTCGCTTTTTTCATGTTTTTATTTAAATTTAATGTATACTTAATTTAAAAGATAATGTTTCGCCCCCTGTCGGGCTATGTAGGAACCCATCGACAAAGTTTGTGTTAAATGTCAAAGCAGTGCACATTTGCATGAACACTGTCAATGAGAAATATGAAAGTGAACTGCTTTCAACTGTGTAAGCAGTGCAATTTATAATTTAACATACTGCTAAATTACAGAATTCCAAATTACTATCGCCACAAACATGTCTCTACTATAAAATGTCAATTATCATCAGCATTTTTATTTTTTAATCAATATTTGTATATATATAACACAATTACCAGAAATTTGTAAACCGATATTAACAATATTTTTACATGAAATTTTTCGACAAACCAAAATTTAAAAATCTCACAACTCAGCCAAAAACGCATTAATTTCAATTCGGAAAGCGGCAGTATGTGAATTTTAGCAGGTTAACAAAACTGCATACTCAGTTTAAAATGTGAATTTTTGGCCGATTTTTGCAAATTTTCATGATGTAACCCCTTTCCTTTTTTCCGAAAAATGGGAAATTTCTGAAAAAATTTTTTTCGGCCGGATAAAGCTAGAACGAAAGCCCTGTAGATGCTGATCAAGAATATATATGATTTGTGGGGTCGGAAATGGCTCCTTCACTTATTTTTAAGCTTCTGACTGAAGGTCCAT